TGAGATTGTCCTCGACTTTGGCACCTGCGAAGTAATGAACAACAGGCAGTACGTCATATGGCGCTATGATAGCCCTGCGGTGGACGTCCTCGATGCAGACGAGGCCAGGACGATGCGGAGCTCATCTGCGCGGCGCAGATCGCCGACTGTCTCTCTCTCCCTGCGCGAGTAGTTGCACCACCCTGGATGAGGCATCTGGGCTGGGGCAGGGCCGTTAGTAGAGGAGGTGGACTGAGGGCGCGAGGCCACCAATCGTCAAAGTCTGCTGCTGACTGACTGTCGGTCACTGACTGAGCAATCGCATCGGCGGTTTCACGCTCACAATCGGGTTACATCGAGGTCTCTGTGCGGGATGTGCTGGGGGGCTGCCCCCCAGTCGATTGCCGCAAAGTTCGTCGATGTAACCCTACCAGAAAGCTGTATTCACACCTACCCTCCAGAAAAGAAATATGGTTTTGTCGAAGATCCGGCGGGTTTATCGGAGCATCACCCGGTGGGAGGGGGGGGGGGGTTCTTTGTGGGGGGGCGCCTGCCCCAGCGCGCGCGTAAATTGGCATTTCTTTGTGGGGTGGCGCCTGCCCCAGCGCGCGCGTAAATTGGCATTTAGAAAAATCCGTAACCAGAGCCTCCGGCGGGGCGCCGCCCCGCCCCGCGCTACCAATCCAAACCCGAGTACAAAGCGCGCCTCCTGCGCGCCTCTCCGAGGCGCTGCGCAGATGGTCTACGAATCATAGAGGCTCAAGTGACAAGTCCACACATACACACACGCGGGGGACACACCGGTCACCCGCGGGTGCCATCTGCCATACACAAAGCATTTACTCTCACGACACACGGGGATCGGGTGGAGCGGCGGCGGCGGCGGCAGTGGCACGCGTGGGCGGACGGACTCGGACGGGGCGGAGCAGCGACCGCCTGGGCGGCCGCTGCTCTGTCTGCCGCTGCTGACCTCGAAGGCGTGCGGAGCGCGACTGTTGGTGTCGGGGGGCGGCCGTCATGTGGCGAGGCTACGTCGCACGAGTGCAACCGGGTAGCGGGGGGCTAAGAGACCGCACTCGCACGTGTGTGTTGCAGTTGCGACGGTAATATCATTTACCACTATGCTCTATGCCACGGTCGCCCATCCCGGGATGGGCGACGTGGCAAAGAGTGGTAAATGATATCCGTCGTAGCTGCAAAACCAGTAAACCACACTCCCGGGTCGCGGAACATGTGTCCAGTTTGGTTGCCGGCCGGGATGCGGTCGATCGGTGGACTGTCGCAGGAGATTGTGGAGAATGACCTCCAGACTGACCCGGAGAATCACCTCCACCCAGCCCCACCGCAGCACCCCTATTATCACTCTCTCCCCCCCCCCCCCAGTGATGAATAGTCTACCTATCCCTATATTCCCACACCCTGTGCAGTGGCACGTCTTGCCACCCAGACCCCTAATATTGGCACCCTGGGCGCCGAATAGACGCCCAAGTATTAGCACGTCATAGTTCCCTCGACTCTCGAGGCGTCGTCATGTGACACTTTGAGCAGTCACCCCGCTGAGGCTGAGGCCTGAGCCCCAGCATTCCCGGTGTTGTGCGACACCATTCCCTTAAACCACTCGGATACGAGTTCCTTATACCAATCCTACAGTCGTCTGAGACGGCACCCGGATCGAGGATGGCTTTGCAGCCTCACCCGCGATCAGCAATACCGCAGAGCCGTGCACGCGGCTCACCACTCACACTTGCTGGGCACCAACCTTTGGGTCCAGATGCCGACCCCTCTGCAAACGAGGGGAGAGGGACGCCTCGCGATACTACGGAGGGCCTCCACCTCGACCAAACACGGTCAGACCACTCCAATCCCTACCACATGGACTCCTTAGAGGAATTCATTTTTTCGACCGTCGGACTGGGTTTCGAACTGGCGACCCATGCAGTTGCGACGGTATATCATTTACCACTGGGATGGGCGACGTGGCAAGTGGTACACGGACACAGTCACCTTGCCACGGACAGCGCGGCTCTACTTGCTATCGGGACGAGCAGAGGGCACACAGCACATGCTACATGTAAAGCCGTACATGTACATGTTACATGTTGTTGTGATGATGCGGCGCCGATGGGGGCAGATACCAGGACGAGGACGACCGGTGCGGCATGTGTGCAAGTCATGCGAACGCCGCGTTGCCCAGCCCCACGAGGGGCGCTCTTTCAGGAGACAGGCCCCAGCGTAGCCTGGCGCGGGTGCAGCCAGGGTCCTACTCTTGTGCACAAGTATTACTATGGCAAAGGCCAGTAGATATTCGGCAAATAAGACAGCAATTGCAGCAAATTTGACAAATCTTATGGTTTTCGAGTGACAGTATGGATTCCGGGTGACACAGGTTTAAACAAGCACGGTCGATCCGTCAAAGCATACACTCGTTCCTATCACGTTGGACGGCTTGCACGGAGCTCTGTGCCAGCACACAGAAAGAGCCGTGCGGCAAGAAGAGCTCGATGGGGAGCGAGAACCAACAACCTTCACATGGGGAGAGGCCAGCCTCCGGCTTCTCAGCGTGTGCTAACACAGCGCTGCGTACGGGAAACGAGCCGGCCACCGGCCGTGGCTCGGAGCGCTGACGCTCCGAGGACCACCGCTGCACGCACGCTAGACTGCCACAATCAGACCTTCCTCAGTCCTCACCAAGTTGCAAGTAACCGCCCTCACGCACAGTCAGTGTTTGTTCGGAGGGGGGGCTGGGTGGGCGGTAAGCCGTTCACACCCCTTCGGAAGATTGCGTTGTGTTCTTATTTTGTATCCGCTTTTTTATTAAATGAACTCTCTCTGGTATAGCCCCAGCCGTCGCTCCACGCTGTCTGGTGGCGTTCTCTGTTCACACCGAGCAGCTGTGGAAGCGACTAGCGGACTTACTAAGCCGACAATGTCCGCCGCAGCTCGCGCGGCGGCGCCCTCCGTGTGGTCGCTCACCACGAGGACCGGGCGGCTCCGGGTGCCGCGCGTGCGAAAGCAGATCCTCGTCGACATGGCGCGCTCGCTCCTGCTGCGCACCTCCCGCCGCACGCATTGATCGCGCCCGCCGCGCCTCAGATGTCGCGCAAGATGGCCGATCGCTCGCTCGTCGCTGTGGCCCACACGGGGAACCTCACATACGAGCAGAGCGCGCTCCTGAAGCGCGAGGCACGTGGCGTCCGACTCAGTGACGTCGGATCGAGATTGCCACCACCACCACACTCTTGTGCGCCCGCTGCGCAGGTGCAGTCGGCTGGCGGCAGCATCCACGTGGTGAAGAACTCGCTCCTCGGCCTCGGGATGCGCAACGCGGGCCTCGACGCACTGGTCCCGCTCTTGCGCGGCAAGGTCGCCGTCGCGGTGGGGGACGACGAGGCGAGCCGCGCAGTGCAGTGCAGCGCCCTCGCAGCGCCCTCTCGCCGCGCCGCCCACACCTGACCGCCGCCCCGTCTTGCCGCCAGGTGGCGTTGGCCCAGACGCTGCTTGGGGCGTCCAAAAAGGCGCGTCGGCGAGAGGCCGCGCCAGCCAGGCGAGACGGGCGACCCCAACACCCTCTTCTCCGCCGCAGGTGCCCGACTTTTTTGTCCTCGGCGCAGTGCTGCAGAGTCGGCGAGTCTTGCGCCACACCGAGGCTTGCGGCGCCCGCCGCGCCCGCCGCGCCCGCACCCGTTTCGCTCGCCCTAAACCTCCCCTCCCCTTTCCTCGCCGTCGGCGACTCACACGCTAGCGCGCGCGCTTGCCAGGTCGAGAGGTTGGCCAAGCTGCCGCCCGCGGAGGTGGTATACTCGAACCTCGTGTCGCAGATGCTGCCCGGCAGCGTGCTGCGGGTCCCCAACCCGGCGGCGCACCTCGTGGCGCTGCTCGGCCACCACTCGAGCGGCGGCGACGCCGACGGTGGAGGCGGCGGCGAGCGAGAATAGTTATTCGGAGAGAGATTTTGAAAGAAAGAAAACAGAAAAATTCAAGCCGTGTCTTTTTTCTTCTGCCAGAATGGGCACGGCCGGAGACTCGGCTCGGCTACTGGACGGCCTCGGCGATGCCGTTCGCGCGGTGCTCGCGCACAAGAACAGCTTGACTGACGAAGAGTGGCTCGTCGCGCTTGCGCACGTTGAAGCCATCCGCGGCAGCAGGGCGGCGGCGGGGATAGAGCTCGAGGACGACACTCCGCAGTGGCTTGTGGAAGCGGCGATGAAGATGACGCTGGTGGAGCGGACGGAGGAGGAGTCGCGGCCCGCCCACTCGGGACTGCCGGCTGGCTGGTGTTGCGGCTGGAGCCCGGTGCATAGACAGCACTACTACTATAGCGTGGCGCTCAACGTCACGCAGTGGGCTCCTCCACTGCCGCCGACTCCGGATACGCTCGCCGTCTCTCACGACGCCATCGAGGCCACCGACGACGGCGGAGCCGCTGAAGCCGCGGTCAGCGCCTGTAGCCCCGCGCGATTCGCAGCCCCTGCGACAAACGCCAAAGCTTGGGAAGAGCATGCGAAGCTTGCGGTGTGGGCGGAAGGGGCGGCAGCCCTTTCCAGGCGTCACGCGGAGGAGCGCGGGGCCGCGTTTGCACGAGCCCGGTCCATCTGGCGTCAGCTGGACCTCGCGCAGCGAGCAGAACTGCAAAGGAAGTGGCTCGGCATCTCTTCACGCCCTCTAACGAAGGGAAAGAGGGGCAACGGTGAGTGATGGCGGCCAGGCGGCCCACTGTCCAACCCGCGGGGACCGAGCTCCGATGGGGATGCGTCACAGCTCACACTTAGGGCGGCTTTACACATGGGAGGCCGCTGTCTCACCGACGGCGACACGCGCGCGGCGCGCGCGGCGGTGTGTCTCTCGTGACTGTGTGGCGCGTGGGGGTTGTGAGATCGTGAGACTGTACCTCTCGTCGCACGTCGGGCGCGGCCAATCGTCAAAGTTCTTGAGCTCCTCTCGGACACCCGGTCGAGCCAGGAGGTGCCAGGACCCCTTTTCGCGTGCCGCGCTCGCGCGCTGCTTGCGCGCCTTTTTTATTTTTGCATTTTGGCGTCAACCCCTTGGAGTGTGAAGGCTTCCCCGTAGCCCTCCGGTCTACTGAAGATCCGCAGGATTGGAGCGAAAAAAAGCAAGCGAGTGTTTTGGCGTAACCACTACCAGTCAGCACCAGTCTCTAGACTCTACACATACACGAAAGACCTCAGACGCCAGACCCGAGACTCAGCCCCCCCCCCCCCCCCCCCGAAACAAAAATGGAGTTGCACGGGTCGACACACGAATCTCCGAGGGACACAGGGACTCAAGCTATCTTCATCACACTGCACGCGAGTGCTCCCGGGCGGGATTCCCCCCCAATCAACAGCATCACGATATTACGGTTTACCAAACGCCCGCCTCCCACCGGCAAAGGGCGCGTTCCAAGGGGTCCACCCAAGGCGCGAAACCCTGCGCAGGTTGGGCCGCCATTTGGCTTGGCTCCGCCCACGGCGGCTTTTTCGCCTCCACCGGCCGCTGCTTGGGATGCCATGCCTCCTACAGAGACGCAGCCTTCGACCTCAACTCACCCGACCCCAGAAAAGGGGGACCCCTCCGTACGCCCCCGGCCTTGGCGAACGCCGCGGAACGCCCCGCGGGCGTCCTGCGCGGGGCTTCCGCCCGCGCTGCCTCCCATTCTACCGCCGCCTCGGCCGCGGCAATCTGGGGCGGCGGCGCCCTGGGCACCACCATTCCCACCCAAGGGCGGGAGTAGGGGCGGGTGCTGGGGCGGGTGGCGCCCGCCGGTGGCTGCGCGGCCTCGAAGCAGAGCGGCGCCTGGAGAGGCAGAGGCGCGGTCGCGAGGGTCGACGCGGCATTTCGGCGGGTGTGTGTGTGGGGGGGGGGGGGCAGGTGCGTGGGACTGACCTCGGCGGCTGACTGCTTCGAGAGCCACACCGCCTTGGCCTTCGCCGCCGTGTTGCGCGCCGGCGTCTGCGGGCGGGCCGCCGCCTGCCTCGCCGAGTGATGAACATAATAATAATAATAATAATAATAGTAACAATAAACAATAATAACTAGTCTGCGGGCAAGCCGCCGCCTGCCTCGCCGCCGCCCACGCCGCGGTGGCAGCCTCCTCCTCCCGCTGCTTCTCCCGCCACGCCTTCCGCGCGCTCGCCGCCGCCAGCCTCGCCGGCGTCGCCAGCGGAGGAGCCGCCGCGGCCGGTAGAGCCACAGGCACCGCTGGAGCCGCCGCCCTCCGCACAAACGCCTCCCACGCCTCCTTCGCAGGTGTCGCCGGCCAATCATCCCCCCCCGCGCTCGCCGCCGCACGCCTCGCCATCGCACGCTGAAGAGCTGTCGGCTCCGCCGCCTCAGCCTTCGGTGCGGCCGACCCCGGCACCGCCGCCTCTGACGCTGGCATCCTTGTCGTCGGCCACTCGCTCGCCGCCACGGCGCTCTGAGACGGCCGCGCCATCGCCGCAATCTTCTGCGCCGGCGTCAACCCGGCTGGCGGCAGCGGCGGCTGCGGCGGCTGCGGCTGCGGGGGCTTTGCAGTGTCTGCCGCCGCCTCGACTGCAGCCAACCGCGCCTGCGGGGTGGGGCGAGGCAGCCTGATAGGGCGCAGGCTGCAATCCGCCCCGACCTTCTCTAAGCTGCGGCGCCTCAATCGTCGCGAGCCGCTGCGACAGCGCGTCCTCGCGCGCCCTCGCCTCAGCCGCCGCCTCCTTCTCCGCTCTCGCCCCCGCGACTGCCGTCTGGAGAGCGCCGTTCACCTGCTGAGTCACCTCGCTCACCTGTCCAGGGAGGGTGGGTGAAGGGGGGGGGGGGGGGGGTTGGGGACCCCTTCCGCGCGTCGTGACTTCGCGCAAGTTTGCGATACCTGCTCCACCAGCCCGACGAGAACCTCGCTCGCCTCGCTCAGATCGCGCTCTAGCGTGCCCACCCTCGCCGATAGGCCACCGTTATCCCCCGCAAATCCACCATCATCCTCCGCAAATCCACCGTCATCCACCGCCGAACCGGGCGTTGGAGTGTCAGGCTGCGTCGCCGCAGTTACCTCCGCACCAGACTCGGAGGCAGCCTCGATCTCGTCGTTGCTCGAGGCTTCAGGCTCAGCGGGAGCTACGTGTGGCGTTGGCGGCCCCATTCTCCACGCCGGCTGCGCCTGCCTGGCCAGCCACGCAGCCTTGGCCGCGTCTTCTGCCGACTCGGCTGGCTGGGCGCAGAGCATCCTGGGGCCGCCCGCGGCAACTCTAGGCGGCCCGACTAGAGCCTCGGCGGCGAGAAGGGCGACTAACATCGAAGTGGAGAAGGTTTTTCGGAGTTTTTTCTTTTTTCTCTCGCGGTGTGCCATCCTACACCTGCAACGCCCAAGGCTCATAGCTGCTCTCAAGTTCGCCCAAGGCGGTGTCTTCCTCCAGACTTCCACCCTCCTGATGCCGTCCAGGATCCTCCTGCAACTCAATCGACTCCCCTTTTGGGGAGGCGTGTAGCTGTAGGCGGGCCTTGGTCCACTGACTCCAGTCCCGGTCAGCGCCCAGCGCCGCTTGCCAATCCTCATCGCGCATGCTGGCAGGTGCTGCACTGAGGCTGGAACCCGCAACCTCGAGCGGAATCCACTCATAGCTCAGCGATGAGTCGCAACCTCCCTCCTGAGGCTTGCCCGTAGCTGGTGTGATGCGTTGCCTCGCGCTTTCCGTGTCTGTGGCCGCATCATCCGCGTCGAGATAGCTGATTGGCACGTCGTGTCGACCGCGACCAGAGAGCTGAACCATGCGACTCTGGCGGCTCAATCTCTCATCACTGTTGCCGCTCCCGCCCTGTTTGCAGCCGCTGTCACGCACGCCCTGCATAAATTCGCCGCAGCTCTTTCGGCAGTCTCCGCTGTCCTCACCCTCGCCGCCGCCGCTCGTCTCCGACGTCGCCTTCTCAGCGCATTGCAGCGTCTCGGGTCCCAGATCACCGCCCCCTGGCGCCTCGTCGTGCCCGCTGTGGTGTCCCGCATGGGGAGAACGAGGGCTTGCTTGCGCCTGCGCAAGGGGAGCGAGAGCGGGGGTGCCGGGTGACCATCGAAAGTTGGACGGGAGGACACGAGACGAGGGGGCGTAACGGAAGACGGCAAAAGGGCGGAGATTACAGAAGGGTGTGTCGTCACGAACCTCGTTGGGAACCGCGCGAACATTCGCGGGGGCGCTCTGAGCCGCGCGCTCCGGGCCGTGCCGCCACGAAACACTCCCCCCCGGCTGCCCGCAGCTCGCGGGCCCCGCACCGCGCCGCCTCGTCGACGCTCCACAATGCGCCACTGACTCGACTCGACTGCGTTGTCGCCGCAGGATGTGCAAGAAGCTCCGCATCGATGACCCTTACTACACGCGTGACGGCCCGATCCACAACAAGACTCGCGGCGGGGGCTTCGAGTTCACGGAGCGCAAGCAGGTTGCGTTAAGTCTAACCACACCCTCGCGACTTGTGCTGCAAGGCGTTGATCCATCTTACGTGACACTCCCATTAGAACTAAGCGTGACACGCTCCCAAACTAAGCGTGACACGCTCCGAGATCGCAATCTCCCCAGGGTTCGGCTCCAGTGTGGGTAGGGAATCCCCTACCCCCCAGGGAGGGGAACCCACAGTGGACGCGCGTCTCGGGAGCATATGCTGCCTCCCTGCGGATGCTGCCGGCGAGCCTGGCGGTCCGCTGTACTACAAGGATGTGCTGACTCGATTCTACCTCGAATTCTTCTACCCCCGCGACCCCACGAACGAATGTGACAGGACCATCGGGTCCTTCGGCCACCAAAGCGGGATCACCCGAGAGCAGCTGAGCCTGCCTCTGGCCTCGCCTCCCTCTCCTTCAGGCATTCGTGGCATCCGATGGGTCGCCCAGAGTATCGACCTCTGGCTTGTCAGTCGCGGTCACTTGATGACCCCCATGAAGTACAGCGATCGCCACCTCGCTGGCCTCTTCGCAGGCCCCCCCGACCGCGTCGAACTCATCGGCGCGGGCTCTCTCGGCTACG